AAAGAGTAAAACCAATAGGCAGAGAGACAGCACGCGAAATTGCACCTTTCCTCGATAAAGTAGCGCACTCTTCGCACCTCGTGAAAATACGAACGTAGCCGCAGACCTATTCGTATTTTCACCGTGCATTATACCATTTAATCGATGATCATCGAAAATAATCGTTCATCCTTTTTTTCAATAGCGGAATCGACAAATGGAGGTGCCAGTAAGTTCAATCACATTCTAAGAGTGCTGTAGTAAATACGTATACCTGTCTTTATTCTTTCTGTTCGTTTTGCATATATTTCTTTATTTTCTTCTTTTTCTTCCCTTTTTTTTTCGTTTTTTTTTTTTCCTTCATTTTTTTTCTCTTTCGTTTGTTTACCTTTCGTTTCATTTCTCATCGTTTTGTTCTCTTTTGGTTTTTCATTTTTGTTCTCATCCTCCTTTTATCTCCTTTTGTTTTCTTTTTGTCAGTTTTGTTTTTTTTTTGTTTTTTTTTTCGGTCCCTTGTATTTTTGACCAATCGTAGCACACGCACATATCAATCGTTCGACTCGCACCCCGCACCCTCATCGCCCCTGCTCCCTGTTACGTATCGGAACATGTATGTACTGGTAGCTAATCAACCGCAACACGATACACGCCATATTCCCTTATTCGTTTTATTGTAATACTTACTTGAGATTGCACACCTAATCCACGATGCGTGTCATCGAAGCGAATAATACGGTTTATTCTCTCTTTTGTATTTTTCATCTTTTCTCTTTCACTGTTTTTTTCCCCTCCGTTTCTGTTTCTTTCTACCTGGATCTGTATCTTTTTTCTTTTTCTTTTTTTTTTCTTCTTTTTCTTTTCTTTCGGTTTTTATGGTTCGGTTCTCCCGAGGGTTTACTTGTACTCTCCTGTCCAGTGACTAACTAGATTGGCTTGTCTAACCGGAAGCGCGATTCGAAAGAAATCCAAAGTAATTTCTTCGTTCTAGAACCTGGTACTGCACCACGAAACGTTCTGGCCCGACCATTGAGCTCCAGCACGATGGTCATACAATGGATGGAGCCGGAAACACCGAACGGACAAGTGACGGTTAGTTTTTTGCCCGTTATACGTTCCCCCCCCCCCCCCCCCTCCATTGAACGGAGACACGGGTACGAAGATTTTTCTTTGCAGGGTTACAAGGTGTACTTCACGACGGACTTGAATCAACCAATGGCGTCTTGGCAGCACCAAATGGTGGACAATAACCAGTTAACCACCATCTCGGATTTAACGCCGCACACGATATACACGATTCGGGTGCAAGCACTGACGAGCGTTGGACCTGGTCCACTGAGCACACCTGTTCGGATAAAGACGCAACAAGGGGTACCGAGCCAACCGGAAATGTTGACCGCGATAGATATCGGGGAGACCCAAGTAACGCTCCAATGGAACAAACCTGCTCATAGCACGGAAAATATTCTCAGCTATGAGCTGTATTGGAACGATACCTATGCACAGGTTGGTAATCGCGTCACGCTTTGTCCAATCGTGGACAGCGACGATGACGACAACGACGACGACGGGGGAACTGATGTAATGGTGGCGGATGATGGAAATGACGATGAATTTCAGGAAAAGTTTCATCGAAGGATACCGGCTATCGAGAACTACACACTGGCCGGCCTCTACCCGAACACGCTGTACTACGTTTGGCTGGCTGCGAGGAATCAAAGGGGAGAAGGAGCTACGACGATTCCGTATCCGGTTCGCACGAAACAGTACGGTAAGCAAACAACCAAAGAATGAGCAAAGAGAGCGAAAAGATCGGAGTGAATTCACGCAGCGAGGAGTGCCGAAGAAAGATCGATTCGCGATTGTTCGCCGGTAGTCGGGGTTTAATTCGCACGATGAACGCGATATCCGTCGATTCAATCGCGAATCGTGCTGGCACGGCAGGTAGGAAATAACGTAGCGCTAGACGCTCCCGCAAGTAGCGTAAGCTAATTAATCCCCGACACCTTCAGTTCAAAGACGGTCAAGATTCGTACCGTGAATTCATTGAACAGGGGGGGAAAAGAAAAAAATATAGAAAAGAAAGACGGAAGATAGAGAGTATCGTTGAACCGTGAAGTGTGGGAGAGTGAGAATGACTGCATGCGTTGCAAATAAGACAGCCGTTTTTGGATGCCACTTTATATATATATCTATCTATATATATACGTACATATCATACATATAAATTGCACTAAGCACTGCATCGATATATGTGTGCATTTTGGGCACCTCTTTTCATTCTTGATAACGTATGGTTTACGTCCGTTCTTCAGTTTTTTATTGTCTCTCGTTTCCTTATTGATCAAGGCACGACGTTAACTCCACGCGAGAACGCGCGAGTTAATCGATCGTCCACACGATATTTCTCTAATCACGTACTTTTTCGACTGTTCAAGGATCGACTCATGAGTTTTTCCTTGAGTGATTCGCCTCTCTGAACCTTGACCAATCGTCACGTAAAACTTTTAGTTGGATCCCTTCGTCGCGTCGATCGGGTTCGATCGTGGCTTTCATGTTCCGGCTCGTGCATCCCTTCGAATCCAGTCGGCGGATTTTCGTTTTTTTTTTTTTTTTTTTTTTTTTTTTTTTTTTTTTTTTTTTTCTCTTTATTCCTTCTTCCCGCGCCCGAATTCAAATCCGTAGACCGTTTTGGCGCGGGCGACACACCACCTTACCGACGCGAGAATGGAATAGTCGCCGAACGGTATGATGTAGAATTGGAACGAGTTTTCGGCGACTCTTGGATTCTCGGGATCCGAGCTCCCACTTGACCACGATCGTCCGGTGACCGACGATCGACGATGTTTCCCTACCACGTTTTCGTTTGTTTTCCCTTTCCCCCCCTATAACTGAGTGTTATACAGTCCCCGGGGCTCCGCCTCGCAATGTAACCGGAAAAGCGATCAACCCGACTTCCATATTGGTAACATGGGAACCGCCGCCTGCCAATCAATCGAACGGGAGGATCGCGTACTACAAGCTGCAAGTCGTCGAGAGCGGACGCTCCGACTCGGAGGCGAAAATTATCAAACTGAATGACACGCGATTCGTGTTGGACGAACTGAAAAAATGGACCGAGTACCGGATTTGGGTATTGGCCGGGACCAGCGTAGGTGACGGACCTCCGAGTTATCCGACCACGGTCAGAACTCACGAGGACGGTATGTATCATTAACGCTAGCCATTTTTTTACGTTTTCACCAACATGTAGAGGCGCGGCGATCGAAATCTCCGGCGAGACCGATTTCTCTTTTTTCCCGTTTTCATTTTGCTTACGCGCGTTCCAGCAAATATATCTCGCCGAAAGATCACGAACGCCACGCCTCGCGTTTGTCTCTAGATATACTTTTGCGATGAAGGCGATGTATCGCGACAAAATACCTCGCGCAAGAGCCAAAAATATAAAAGCCCGCCAAAAATCACGCGTAATTCCACTGTGCCGGTTGCGATGATACACGCCCAGATTCTCGGCCCGGTGACGTTCGGTCTATCCTTCGTATACTATCTATACATGTACATTATCTGTATATTAAACGTATTTTCGATTTCAGATTCCGCTAACGTCTCTTCGAACCTATCTCTTCCATTACTCGGACACTTGGACCCCATCCTCTCTTCTTTTTACGATTCTCCGTATCTCATTCTCACGATTACTCTCTTTCTCATCTCTCTTTCTCTCTCTCTCTCTTTATCTCTCTCACTCTCTCTCTCTCTCTATCTCTCTACTCTCTCTCTATTCTCTGTCTTTTCTCTACGTTTTGTTCCAATTCTCTTATTCGAAAACGTTTCCATGTGTTTCCGTTCTAGATTACATTATCGTTATATTTCCATCTCATTCGATTTCGTTTAATTACGTTATACGAATATATTACGTTTCGTTACATTATATTATATCATGTTATATTTTATTATGTTACGTTACGTTACGTTACGTTACATTGTATTACGTTAATTATATTCTATCAATTATGTTACATTAAATTATACCGTATTATATTGTATAATACGTACGTAAAGCTTCTCCTCTAAGGCCACTTTTGCGTTTCAGTTACGCTTTCGAGAAACGAACTGTCAGCTCAGCCTAGTCGCGGCAACGAAGAAGATACCAGGATGAACGCGCGGCCCTTTTTTTCCATTCAAAATGAAATCTGATAATTCGATTTTTGTTGCGCGAACGTAAGTTTTTTGAACGCGCACAACAATTTTTTCATATTTCTCCTTTCAACGCTAAAAATCCCCCACTTTCCTATTGCTTTTCTCGCACACCTTCGTTTTCCCATATATATATATATATTTATATATGTGTGTGTGTAGTCTGTTTTTCCATTGGTTTTTGTTTTCCTTTTTGGACGGGACGCGGCACATACACGGCGAAACGCGAAATCATGTTGGCCCTAATTTTTTGGCTGGCGAGATTTTATATTTTTGGAATTTTTGCGACTACAACGATCTACCATGATTTATTCTGTACTTTCAAAAGCCCCGAAATTTTCCCCATTGGAGTGCCCCAGACATTTTTTCCAGGTGGTGCACGCAGCCACGGATTTTTCAGAAGCTGATAACCAATTTTTGAGCTCAGCTATGTACTTGCAAAAGATAAAAAAAAAAAAAAAAAAAAAAAAAAAAAAAAAAAAAAAAAAAAAAGAAAGAAAACAGAAAAAAAAGAAAAGAAAAAATGGAAAAAAGAGAAAAGAGGAACGTCGTATTTTCTTACTATTTTTACAGGGCCTAATCGCAACTCCCCCTTTGTACGTTGCCGTTGGTTTTTTTCTCCCCTGAGCCCCACTTTTAAAACTTGGATACCCATTTTAACACGCTAACTAATACTTAATTATATACTCATTCACGTGTTTTTGTCTTTCCTTAAAGCATTTGCAGGAGGATGATCCAGGTTTTGAACAGCTAGTTTTTAAGATTTATTCGCACTAACGTAACATACCGATTGTCTAATGATATGTACTCATAACACTCAATGTTCTTTCTGGTGGTAACCGTGATTATTACGTCACGTAAAGATGTTTCGTTTCTCTCTTTAGTTCGTTGACTCACTCTTGCCACGTGTTACGATGATAGAAGCCAAGCTGACCGCCCGACGCGTGCACAGCATTATTTTTACCGTTCGAAAAGAGACTGTAGCTCTATCGCTACCCCCTTGGTACAGCTTCTCGATGGCATTTATCGGACGGAAATAATGTCTGTGAACGAGGGCGGTAGCTGGTCGTCGATGAAACGCTTACGTGTATATATACATAAATATATATATTTATATATATATATGTATATATATATGTGTATATACATATGTATATATGTGTATATATATATATATA